AAAAGATCTTAACTTAATACTCTTTTTATATTTATAAGCGTACTTAACTTATATATAATTAGCTGCGTGTAGATCGCCTCCTTTGAACTCTGGATCTGTGATTTGCATAAAATGCCAATGAAATATCTAATAATAAAGATATAAAAATCCTATTGTAAATGTGATTAAATAAATTTAAAGATCCGATTAAAATAATTCCTGATGTTAATAGACTTTAATAATTTATCTTCTTTATTTCTTATTTTTTTCTTTTATAATACTTTTTTATATAATATTGATTAAAATAAAAAAAAATCTATCTTATGTTAATTAAAAGTTAAAACCACTTCAGATTTCGAAGGATAAATGCGATCTCAACTATGCCATTTTGTAAGAGTAATACTCGACTCAAATTAATAATGAGCATGCTTACACCCCCGTATATTTTTATAAAATCAGAGAATAACAACGTTTACGATTGGCATCAGCAACATCTCTCTTTGTCTTTATTCTCACGATGGCAGGCGTCTCTGGAGTGTCGGAAACAACAGGGATAAAAACTTGTCGGACTTGTTTTGCGCGAGAATATGAACAAGGAAAACGGAAGAGAGAATTGCAAAGATGCAGAGAGAAAAGGAAAGAGAGAAAGACAAAAAAAGAAACAAAGAAAGAGAAAGAGAGAGAATCACAAAAAGAGGAAGCTAAAGAGAGGTGCTATCAGAATCAATCATGACGTATATGATATTCGTCCGAATCCGCGAATTGTTATGTGATTGTCGCAATTAATACGTAATTATCGATAATAATTTTTTTATGCTACGCGTGTCATTTGTTTAGCTATTTCCTAGAATTATCAGTTATTATCATGCGTTAGTGTTTTATATATATATATATTTGATGGATTTGACGTGCCTTTTTGCAGCCTCTTATGCATTCTTATTATGTAATATTATTATGCAAGTTATGAACATGTAAGAATTTAATAAAATTTGTGATGTTTTCGATGTAATGTTTTAATTGTCGCCATTAACATATTAATATACGTTGTATATCCATTTTATTTTCATGCATCATAATAATTAATATCTTAAATTATTATATGTATAACTTGATAAATGGTAATTGAGAAAGATAATGCTTAAATAAATGAAAACTATATGTATAATTATACATCATATAATTACATATATGTATAAAATTTTATTATAATATGATTAATATATATCTACAAGAAAATATCAAATTTATTAAAAAAATTTGAAAATGTAGAAGATTTTCTTTAAACAGATTTTAAATATTATTTGCACATCTTGAATCATCATTGAAAGTACAATAAACTCTTATTATCACATAATTTTTCTTGACTGCAAAATGAATTTCTTTACATAATTTAATTAATAAATATTATTTCTCAATTCATAAATATCTATAATATTTCTTCTTTCTTAATTCATAAATATTATTAACAGAATTCTACAATGCGTTTCTTTAAAAATTATAATTTATTATATTTAATTGTAGAATCGAATATAAATATAATTTAGTATTAGGATTTTTTTATTACTAATATTTTACAAAGTGGATTTAAAATAATTTTGATAAAAAAATAATTTTGATTTCTCTTGAAAATTATAAGAAATATGTATGTACAATGAAAATATATAAATGTAAATAAGCATGTAAAAATATTTTTGAAGGCGTGATCAAAATTATTACATGTTGGGACATGTTGTAAGAACTTTATGTCTGTGCATATATGTTTATCTTCAGTCTACTTCCTCTCATTCATGGACAAAAGGTCGACAATAAAATATTTTAAATATTAATATAATTTGTGTGTAAATTAAAATATATGCTTTCTTTCTTGCTCTTAATTTACATTTACATGAACATTTAATGTAAGTAATGTATGTATTATTATATTTATCAAATATATGGAAATTTATAATATTACATTACATTAGTGAATAATTATGTTGAAATTATTAATTATAAGAAATAGTGTAGAGAGAGAGAAGAGGATCATCTATTTTTCCTGGACACATATGTATATAACACATGAGAGCAAACTTAAGTAAATATGTAATACTTTTGAACATATCTCACGGTCAAAATCAAACTTACGTCAATATCCATCAGCGTTAAGATTTCGTTTATCTTTGGCTTATTTCCGGTCGTCCCTGAAACGGAAGGTCGTCTACTTTTTGAAGACCAAAGACCAAAGACGTTTTTTAACGTTTGGAGTTGCCGACATTGTGAAATTGTGAATGACTTTCCTTGAATTTCGACGGTGAAGGGATATAAAAGCACGTGAAATATAAGATCAACTTTGAATCGTTTTCTAGACGTCTTACAAGTAACATTTCTGACAAGTGACATTTCCGTTTCGTGATGAAAAGTTTACTTTTAATAACAGCGCTTAGCGCGTTTTTTCTAAGAGAATCATTTGGTAAACCAATGGAAAAGATGGATAATTCTGATGTATTAGATCCCGTTGCCTCGATTGTAAACGAATCCTCCGAAATTGGTAATAAAAATTTTTAATTTACTAAATTTTTTTATAACAAACACGTCTTTAGAAAATTTATTTAAAAACCGATTTTAATTTTAACAAAAATAATGTAAAAATTTATGCATTTTCATTTACATATACGATGTTTATACCAATTTCTCAAATTTTTTTAGTTTTTTCCTTCTTCTAGAGAAAGTTCACTTATCTCTAACTAGAATATTATTTTAATATTAATATCTAACTAGCATATTATTTAAATATTAATGTATAAAAGAATAAATGCTTACATTACTTCAGAAACCACGAGAGAGCAAAGATCGCCGCAATTCGGTTTGTTAGGTGGTTACAGTGATTATGATTATGATGATACATATTTCCGTTACGGAAACAAGCGAAAATATCATCATTATAAACCGTTTCGACCTCATAGGCCACATGGTCTCATCGGAGGATATGGATGTCGTGGAGGATATGGATGTGGTGGAGGATATGGAGGGTACGTGTAGAATATTATTTTACTTGATTAAAAAACAATAATCTATTTTATATATAAACGTGACAATTTAAATTATTTTATAATTTCATCACATATGATAAATCTAATTCTTCATAAATATTTGTGAACTAAAATGGGCAAGATAACCATTTGCATTTTATCTTCTGATTTACGCAGATGGCAACCGGACTATGGCGGCTATGGACAAGGAGCGTCCTTTGCTTCAGCATCAGCAGGATCTGTAGGTGGAGGTGGTCCTTATGGTGGAGGACATAGCCAAGCGAATGCACAGAGCGCGAGTTTCAACATCGGGCCTTTCTCAGCCTCGTTCAGCTCTGCTCAATCGTTGGGACAAACTGGATTCTGAATTTTTTAAACGGTAAGCACTGGACTGGATCTTAACCTAATACACTGTAGACTCGTATGTTTATTTAATTAAATATTTATCTAAATTAATTAGAGTTCCATTATGCTAAAATATAATAACATTTTATTTTGTCATCTATCACTATCTTCCCGTACTCCTATAACAAGAAAAGAGTGCGCGGAAATTAAATAATATAACTAATTGTTTATAATTATTGCAAAAATATATTAATTTATGCATGTATATAAAATCCCTTGATTAACTTTTATTTCAATCATATTATCATCATAAATGTAAACGGATTATATCTTTTAAAGACAGAATATGAGAATTATATGCTTTTGTGATAATATTTTATACAAGATATAATTGCTCTTTATTACAAACATTTTCATTGCTTGTGAAGATTTTATGCAAAAAGTTAAATAGTATATACCTTTTATATTTTTAATTGTGTAATTTATTATTACAATATTATACTAGTATTATTCAAAATTCATATATTATAGATAGAATACCAAGAAGTACAATATTGCATCTTTCGCATTCTAAGAAGGGTTAAAGACCAAGGATGTTGCGCTGCAACATTATACGTTGCAGCCGCCCACGAAATTGCGCCGGACTCGTCTCGGGCATAGGTCAACGAACTCGAGGGGCTCGGAGGTCGGGTCCGGGAATCCGCGATTCGCATTATATTACCGCGATCTCGTTGTGCCCCCTAACACCCCGCGCTGCGCTGACCCAACGCGGATGAAACAAGCCTGAAACATCTGTCCGGCGCGGCGGGCCCTATGGCGGACCCCGAAGACGCAACAATCTTTGTCGGGGAAATACGGGCGTATTTCACTTTCGCCGGAGTGTACGGCGATTATAGCGTGCAAATATTCATGTGTTTATGTATATACATTTATATATAAATGTGAGTGTGTATGTGTAAGTGTTTAAATATATTTGAGTGTGAGTGTGTACTATGTACATTTGTGGGACCTGCCCGGAAAGCGAATGTGAGCTGGCGCGGCGTTCGCGCATTGTACCATTGAGACACACGGCCCTTTCGGGGTACGTGTGAAAAAGAATGAACAAAAAAAAGGGGGGAAATGAATCTTCTTGGTTCTCAGGCGATCGGCAGACGGCCAGACAGACGGATTAACTCGTTTTAAAGGGACAGCCAGACGCCATATTGTTGTTTTGGGGCCCGTAGTTTAGGTACGACGCTCCTCTCTCTCTCTCGGCGACAAACCGGTCTGTTTTCGTTTCCCGAGAGATGCACCTACACGCGAATCGGAGTGTCGATTATGCACACACTTGCGACGCTTGGACATGCAAGTAAATGGCCATTGTTCGTCGAAGGGAGTCAGAGAGCTTGGGGATCGAGCGAGCGAGTTTAAATCGGATCGTTTCGGATTGCCAACGTAGAAAACAAGCATGACAAGTTGATATCAATTTTTTAACTCTGAACTTAACGATGCGCTTTATAAGTTCGAGCTGTGCTATATCGAAATTATTTTGTTTTAAATCTTGGGAAAAATCGACATTTTGACTAATTTTTAAATTTAATCCCGTGTATATAGTTTTGTGCTTAATATAATTCCTGGACTTTTAAAATTGCTCTTGCAAATGATATCTTCAACTTTTTTTTTGCATAACTCCGCGTAAACGTTTTATTACGCTGCTCTGTAATCGGGAAACAATGATGTCTTAGCTATTTTCATAATACGATTTTAAACATATGTAATCCTGTGTGTTGATGCAACCTTCGCTACAAAATCGTAAAACATAGTTAAAAGATTGCCAAAGGCTTATATCTTTTTATTACAGATGACTCAGCTGAATATGTTAAAAAAAAAACTGCTTCTTCTACGCGACATCTTTTTTTTAAAGCATGAGTCTCTTTGCTGCTATTTCATCATTTCAAAATCGAAGTTAGCAAGCAATAGAAATTTTTAATTTTATCCGAAATTCTTTCTTTCTCGTTAGTATTTTTAAGTAATTATGTTTGCGTAACTAGTTTAATAATTATCTTAATGGAAAAATAATAGATACTTTAAATGTTAAACGTTTCCTATTCTCCGCAGCTCCAAGAAGCAGCTAAGCGGCCTCGAATCACCCCTAATTTATTTCATCGTTTCTCCGCCATCATTGTGGGCCCATTGTTTACAAACATTCTACGTCACTCACTAGGAGCAAGTAAATAAGCCTAACCGCGTGCGTGAGCCACCCTCTTGCCTCTTGCAAGAGGATTTCCTGAGCGAGCAAGTTTTCTTTGTCCGCATGCCAGCCACCAGATGTTCTCCAAAATAAAACCGACAAAATATCGCGACATAGCGCCGCGATTCGCGCACGAACGAGCGAAACGGAGGACAAATCTGATACGAGAAGAGCAAGGATGGAAGAACTACGAAGAATGACGAAGTGGGGAGGAGATGCCGCGAGACGGAGGGTCGCTGGATAAACGGCACAAAGGGATAGGAAGCTGAAAGGAGGAGGGCCTGTTAAGAGCGAGGGCCTCTGAAATCGAGATCCGAAAAGCCCCGTGCAATGACCGGACGAACCGCACACGCGATCTTCGCCGGCGCAGCATCCTCCGTTTCGAGATACTCTCTTCACTCTCCTCTCTTTGAAGAAGCCAAGAGGAGTTTCGAGGATGGATGCATAAGATGCGTTCGTCAAAGAAAGTTGTGAACCAGTTTATTTATGTGTTCTTTAGCAAAAAATACCAATCTTATAATTTCAGTGATCTCTACTAATAATAAATGTTTAGTATAATTATCATAATATTTTTAAAAGATGAACGTAAATGAAAATAAAAAGACTTGTAGAAAAGATGGAAATTATCTGATATTAATTCGACATGCACATCTAGAAGCTTCCTTTAAATTCTAATCTCTTTAAATCCTTTTTCTTGGAACTATTTATATAAGATGATGATTTTATGAAAATTTCATTTAATTGTAATAGAATTAATTGTAATAGAATTACTCTACTTGCGTTAATTGATTTTTGTTTGTTTTTTTTTCATAATAATAATCACGACGAAATTCGCGTATTGTGGTCAAAAACAGAAAGTGGAGAACATTCGAGAAATTACGTTCGCTCGTTAAAGATCTGCTGTGAACTATTAACTGCAGTGTGTGCTATTAACTGCAGCTTATTGGGTAAGGTACCCTATTATTTTACAAACTACGGAAGATCATTAAATGTGTTATCTTTTGTGCCCCAAAATCACCTCGACTTAAAAAAAATTGCAGTCCAGCTTCAATTCTTCGCAAAAGTACAATAAATACGAATTCAAGTAACTTTATTTCATCATCTCATCAATATGAAATATCCTATTTACATCAAGAAACTTTTATTCTTTTGATTTATGTAGAAAAATTCTTTTCTGGAGAGATCATTGCCGAGTCTTGATTAAAATTGGCATTTCTAAATCGTAATAATGTCTACCCTAAAAAAATGACATTAACGATACCCGAGATGCATCAAAGAAACTCGTTAAAGGACTGTGCTGTCGTTAACCATTGTTTAGCCGCTCCTGGGCACCTACGGCCCTGTCAGCCGGTAAACCAGTCTCTCCGTCTGAGTAAAAAGAGAAAGAGACAGAGTACGGGAGTCGTCCTGATAAACAGAAGGAGAGATCAAATGAGAGAGACAGAGGGGGAGAAGATTGAGAGGAAAAAAATGAAATAGAAAGTGGTCCGGCCGGTGCAACAGACTACAGTATATGACGCCTTTAAAGCACCTCCTCCTGGTGGTACCCATGAATCTGTTCCTGTTTTCCACACACTATAGCAAATCCGCGATGCTTTCTTGAAGGCTCCCGCGTCATTATGCTCGCATTTCTCGTGCGGTTGTCGACTCGGAAAGTATATCCTCAACTATCGCCGGTAAGTCGAGATACGTACTGTTAAGTATTAAGTGTTAAGTCCGAGGTCCATAATACAAGTAAGTGTAACTGCGCCAATCTATAAGAAGACTTGTTCTGTCATTTCGCAAGGTCGAAGGCGAGGATGACGCGCGAAGCAGTGATAAGAGTTAATCATAGTGTTGAACTCGGTATAACTTATTTTTTCAAACGATATATCTTCTTTTTCCAATCCATATGGCGCACAAATGTGTTCATTAAATTGAAAATGAGATATGAGCACGATTAATAATTACAATAAAAAGAAATTGGCTTTCACTTCTTAAGAAGGAACTTTAATTGAAGAGAAAGTTAATTGACTGTTTTAAAAATGCGAATCAAGGCTATTACATTATCTGTGCATTAGTACTATCATTTTATTTAAAAAATAATTAAATTGTTTACTTTAAATTATAGAAATCTGTTTAAAATCCCTTTTATACAATATTTTTCTAATATGTTCGGATTTTCTATAGCATATTAATATTCTTCAAAGATTATTAATATTGATTATATAATCTATAAGATATTTTTACTGTAGACCAATGCGATAATGATAATGAGTTGCACAATCCATTATTTTTACGTAAAATTCTGCCAATATTGACTGCTCTAGAAAGTTATTCAATTAGTCATTCTTCAAACTCGTGTTCCTACAAATGGTGGTTACGAAATCATCGAAGGCCTTTTAACAAATTCATTTAAAGTTAACGGCTGTTTAGAATTTCTGAGCATTCAGGCATGACGTAAAAGTAATAGTAATCAGTTAGTATAATTTTCGCATAGTCGAAAGATCGCTAATATTTGTAATATTTGCTATTGATGTATCTGATAGATTTTTTTTTAATATGTAAACGATCTATATGTGTCTCTGGGTATGATCAACGCAATGTTGCAAACATTTTGAAGCGTTTTTTAATTAATCAGTTTCTAAATTCTTTCTTCTAATTCTTTAAAATTCTTTCTTCTATCTTGATCCATCAAACGCTTCAAAACATTTGTAGCGAGACTTTGATCATAGCCTCTGTGTGTGGAAGAATAAAAATTATTTAAAGATTTGTCGCTTTGTAATTTATTTTTTGTTTCGTATATGTGCCAACGATCAGGTAATTATCAAATAATTAGATAAATATGTAAATAATCAGATAAATATGTAATAGATATTAATAACAGTTTAAATTAGTATAAACGTTAATAATAATCTAATTATATTATGAACTGTATGTGTGAAAGAATCGATAATATCGATAAGAATCGATATATGTTAGAATAGATTTCATCAAAATATTGTATTGAAAGTTTTTTACCGATCATTTTTGTTTACTCTCTTTACAGGGTAACAAAAATTTCGATCTTTGGACATATTAAAATTCCCGTTACAAAATGATTAAAATTTTGGCCCTTTTGCTATTCACTTCAGTCTGTGTCATAATCAATGCTCAAGAGACGGCATCTAACGAAAAATGTAAGTAAAATCGTAAAAAATATTTGTTAAAGAATATTTGAAGACTTTTATTATATGTTTTCATGAAAATATTCACATAAATTGTATATGAAGCAAAGATAAAATAATTAAATTAAATTGTATTTAATAGTAAACTTTAAATTTTCTTTATCTTTACAAATTTAATTAATAAAAAATTTACCTCCACATCTCTTTATCTATGAAAGGAATATTTATGTAAAAATTGGATCTTGAATTTTACTTTCTTCAGTAACTTGTTAAATAATTTATTATACTTCCTCTTTAATTGTTAACAGCACTTTTTGGCCAAACGTTTGATGAAATTATCGTATCATCGGATTTAAATGTTAGAAGAAAATCAAAAGAAAATCGTCAGGGCAAAAGATTATTATCAAATGTGCCGTCAGCAACTACTGGTCCACCGGAAAGACCGACTGCAATTGCATCCAGACTCGTTTTCGCCGATGGAAGCCGTATAACGCCAGAAAAAAGAGAGAAACGTGGCATATCAACGCGAAGGAGGTAAATTGATAAACAATTATCTTTCTTGTTAATTGAGTTATCGATAAAACCCAATTCGAATTAATTAATGTATCTATTATAAAAATGCCGATTAAGCATAAAAATGTCGAAGTATTAATGTTAGCTAAATCACAATGTAAATTATTTTGATACATATATGTAAATGTATGATTAATTTTAAAAAGAGCTAATTTTAGGCTAAGTAATTTTAATATCAGCTGATAATATTTTGCCGTTTTACTAAATCTTCAGTGAATTCACTTAATTATTGTTTATTGAATTGTGAAGTAAAATATTTGAGTGAATATTTCTCTAAACAATTTTCCAATAATGTAATCGGGAAAAAATGTAAATTGCATTAAACCAATTCTCAAGATAGAATTTTAATTGTATCACAAAAATGGAAAAGCATATTTCATGTACCTAATTTTAAAAAGAATTAGTTGAAGAGAGAGTTTACATTTACGTTTGAATCGAAGATTTTTTTAAAATAAAGATTTGTTTATAATTGCATATATTTAACATTAATTATACGTGAAAGGACTTACATGATCTTTACAATTTCAGGTATCTGAATCTGGGCGTCGCGGGATACTTGCTGAAATCTCGGAAACGGTGAAAATTTTATACTCCAAGGACAACCGCACGACCCTCCACACCCTCATCTGTGATCACACTTCTTTGGATGAATTTTTAGGCCACGGTTCATGTACAAAAAGGATAATAAAATTTTTCTGTGTCATAACACTTCCAGCTTTATCACTGCGCACTCTGCGCAAAATTATTCTTCTTTCTTGACTTTCCACAAATCCATATTTTACATATATATATATATATATATATA